CCCTGAAGCTGCAACAAATGCATCAGACATTTGCGACATTAATGTGTTATGAAACGAAACTGGCCTGAACATAGCGAAGAACCGAGGACTGGGACGTTGACAAGGAGTTAGATACATGACCAACAGAACCAAGGCATAGCATACAAGTCAATAATATATAAACATTCGTAAATATCCAGAGAATTGGCTTTAAGCTGAATGACGGCTTGGAGGTGATATGCTAGATCATAGCAGAGCCAATGAAATTGCCTTTTGGTTTGCGAACAAAAAATTTTGATGACAACATGTATGAAACTGGCGGCTTTGCTGGCCCTGTGGTGGAGAAGCTAGGGAAACTATCCTCAGTAAAAAGGGCGTTAACTGGGGCAAATTTGCTTCAAATTAATTGGCGATTTTCAGCATTATCTGGCATGTACTGCACGTCTCTGCGAGTCTGCACATCACTGCATGGCATTGGATTTGGTCGCTGCATACATCAGTGACCCACGCCACTCAGCACATCATGGTTATGAATGGGCAAAGGCAACGCACACGGAAGGGCAATATAACGTTTCAAAAGTTCAGTGCCGTAGACTCGTAAACCGCCGTCCTTAACAGATGCTCCTTGATCCATTATGAATTAATTCGGAATACCTCAAGCACAAAATGAAGTTGTGGTGCTCTTCCTCTTCTGCCTTGCGAGTGCTGTTTGCCCCATCGATTCAGAGATATGCATGTGTCATACGATACGTTCGCTCATATGGCGGTGCTTTGCGCTAAAGGATGTGGCGCTAAATCCCGGCAGTCTCTGTTGCGCTAGGAATTTGCCTGCGAGGGTCCCCTGCACCACTTCGAAACATATTTTCAGAAGTGCTGAATCAGTATGACTTTAATGCCTGCCATATGGGCGACGACTGGCAGTGCCCCGTTCGTTAGTCAATTGACACCAAAAGGCACTGGCACATCGCCAACTTACCCTCCTCAAGGCGTTGCGAATGTCTTTTGTCCGTTGCCCGCGCACTTCAGCGATGACCAAATCTCCGCCTATTAAAATGTCGCTGGGACGTGTCTCACTTCATTCACGATATCGATGATACAATAAACGCATCTGCCAGTCTTCCCGCAAGCTACAACAGACAATATAAGATTCTTCACCAGCGCTACCTTAGCATGGTGCCATCAGCCGGTGCTCGTCGCGAACTGCAGATGCAAACCATATCCAGAGTTACTATCTATAGGTATATCTACCAGCTACTGCAACTGCTGCTACTGGCTGTTGAAATCAGGCTTACGGCGTGAACACTGAGAGTTTACGCATATTTATGCGTAAATATAGTATTTAAGTTTTTGCACGTAAAGACATGTAAAATACGCAAATTTTGACCCAGTATATAACGACAGTACATGCAGACTCGTAGAATCCAGGGAGTGGCAGGCAGATGCCCTGGATTGGGCATAAAACGATCTTACATTCGGCAGCATCATTGCCCTTGCCGAGCCGAGTTGGACACTGTGTTGCGAGTGCTCGAGGGGGCTTAGGCCTCTGGCCTAGGACTGACCATTGTATGCGAATTCCTCCTGTACGTGGGTGTCCCAGTAAGCCGCAAATAGCCCTTTTCGCATTTTCACATTTTTAACTGTAAAAATGAAAACGCAAACGTAAAGACCGGGCCTAGTTGAAATACTTGGCTGTATGCTGCAGCTGGCTGTTTGCCGAGTGACTGCAATTCCGCGGAGCCGGGCTCCTTGTCCCGCCCAGGTACACACACACACACTGGTTCAATACGTTGCAAAGGCAACATTGTTTGTCCCAATACAACCCGAGGTACCCACAACTTGTGTGCCCAGTCGCTTCGCTAGTAGTTAAGCCAGTCCCATACAAGGCTCATCTCTGAGTCAGTCCCACCACTCCTCGTTCCCTCGTACTTAACTCCCACACTTGCCCCAACACAACCGAACATCACCCTAACAGGGAGGGCCGGACGGGAAGCGAAACAAAATAGAGTGGGGACCCAGGGGTGAGCCTAAATAGCCTCCCCCGCTCGCGCCCGCCAAAGCCCGTCATTCCCAAGGGCGCCAAAACCCCCTGGCCCTCCTTGAACGCAGCAAAATGGCCACTGACCCAAGGTACAGGGGGACAGAGACCCCGGGGGCCGCCAAAACAACCGTATTTAAGAGGCACTGGTCCAACGGGAGCCAGCGCGCCCGCCCCTCGTCGCCCTGGGCGGAAACCCATCAACAAGATAGTTAAGCCCATTACTTTCTATTCGTACTCAGCACCACTTAATTGTTGAATAAATTTTGTTGACATTGCATACACTTGTTTAGTTTGAACCTAATCGCCGCATCTCTAAAGCCCCACTGCCGCAACTTTCACCAGCCACAAATTATCCCATTCAAAAGAAGAACCTTTGCCCATTGAGTTTCCCCAGCTCCGTCACACTCCACAGAAAGTGGTCCGGCAGGATATGTGATGCTCCCTTGGGACATTTCAGATGGAGAAAATGGTGTCTCGGAAGATGCAGGTCCCGGGCATTGCCGATGCATGGCGGAATGTTTGCCAAGGTCCACTTCACCTTTGCATCAATTGTTTCAGATAGTTCAGCTAATTAACAGCTGAATATGAAACAATCCCACATCAAACTTCTATTTGCATTCCTTTTTGACGTTCGCTCACGACATGCGGGCGCAAAGCCCTTGTGCTCACCTTGTAGAGTAAAGCACAAAGTATTGCGTCAGTTGCCACTGGGTCCGACCGATATTTTGCTGACCACTGCTTCCAAGAGAGAATCCCAAGAGGTAGTTTCCCAAATGTGTCAAATTACAAATTCAAACGTGCCTGCGAACACTGAAAATGATCCAGAACATTCGCACTGTTCATCTCAACTGCAGTCAGAGAAGCAAAGAACGCATGCTCTCAAAAAAAGTGCTTGCGTCAACCGTGTCACAGCTGACATCAAACCTTTTGTATCGGTATTTTTCATCCGTTGCCGCTGTAGTTTGCGTCGCATCGCGTCTTCCACGAAAAGGAAAAGCCGGGGGAGGCAGATCCGCATTGTAAGGCTCGCTCTGAAAGAAGATTGCGCTTTCGTTTGTATTGCCCCGGACTTGCGGTGGTCTGCCTACCCGCTGCGGTAAGTTTCCCAAGACTAGCCTTTCACGCCATCGGCATTGCATCACTTTCGGCCTTTCGTTCACCTTCGGCATGGCTGGGCACTTCCAGCCTCCGGCTTTCAATCGCGCCCCGACTGAACGACGCGTTCTACGAGCACTGCTCTTTTCTGTGTCGCTTGGGACGCCGCGGTTTGATAGTGATATGAGTTCTTTTAATTGAGGCCCTTTGTGTGTGCCCTGTACGCTCGATTTGCAATGTTTTGACGCTGATCAACGACCAAGCTGTGTCTAATTTGGAATTCTGAGCTTCAAACTGGCGCCAAGGCCTGTTTGGTGCAGGTATGGGCCTGGTTGGTTGGGTGGTCCGCCCAGAGTTTGGACTCCTCAGGATGATTTGATGGGGCTGGACCTGACCCGCGACTCGGAGGTATGACGTGACTACCACCAAATCGACAGAGCTGAATAAAGCCCTAGCCCCTCCTGATCAGCGGCAAGAGACTCAGGACTTGCCCGAAAACTCCATCAAGCGCTCAATAGTCAAGTAGACAACCATTGGGTTTGCCCTCAAGGATCCATACCTCCATGGATGGCCATCGACTGCCATTTCTTCAAGCATTCCATTTTCAACCCTAGCAATCACTGCAGATCGGCTCTAGTGCTGTTTTTCTTGAAGACTTTTTGATTTTGCGTCAGGCTGTTTGGTAAGTACCTAACAAGTATCTGATATGTATTGCCTAACATTAAATGTTGCTGAGCCACGCTGGCATCGACACAGGAATGACGGTGTGTGGGTGCGGGTAGGTGGGTGGGGATGGGTGGGGGTGGGGAGAGATATTTTCAACATCGAGAAACAGGGCATGGAAGAGCAAACGGTGGGGAGAGGTGTGCGAAACTGTGTGCCATACTGTGGTAGATGGTACAGAGTATCGTTGAAGCAAACCGGCACAATGCGGTACTCGTTTTGGGAAAAGGTGTGCAGTACTTCCCCTCATGCTGTACTTCAACGGTTCTTGTTCTTCAGTGAAGAAAGAACAAGAGGTACACATGTAGGCAAACCTGCGTCTACATGTACAAAGCATCGCTTTCTGGGAGCATCTCGATTGCCCCGGAGGGTCTTATGCTTTTCAAACCCTTTGCCCGTCGCTTTGCCGCGATATGTACGCGTCATTGCAATATTTCCAATCATTTCGCGTTTGACAATGCATTAAAGACACACGCAGCAAATTATACAGTCCTCACTATCAGCAATGCACCATGTTGTCCACAAGCAGCCCACGAGCGATTGTTCTCGCCGCATTCACTTTTGTGATTGGACAACAAGGCGGTGTGAGCCAGCAACTGGCAGCTAACGACCTCGCAATGGGTTGTGCACACGACCTTAGGCCTGCAAGCTTCCGACAATCAACAACTGCACCTTCCCTTGCCCAATCCTGCTATCTCTTTAAAGTCACCATCTTCTCGCGCCCGACTCAAAGACATGGGCCCATCCCACATCATCAACTCTACCTTAAAGAATACAGAATATAATTGTACAACTCATGCCCCACGCATCATCCGTTTCAATTGCAGAACACAATCACATGAATCAAACACAAGCGTACACATTCGTTCCCTTCGAATACTACAGGTAAGTAAACACCAAACAATCTTTCTCCGCTGATGGGTCAGAGCCCTCTGAGCTCACAGAGGGGCAGATGACCAATCGCGCCCATTGCCCTGTTGACCTGCTGCACAAGGATTGCACAGCATCCCAGGACGGCGTCACAGCACCATGTTCGCTCCTATGCTGAAGGCCAACGAAAGTCACATTACCACTCAAGTCTCCTATTGATAGTGAGCATTCATCACCATACTGCAGTAGAAAACACACAGTCATTGTGCTGTCGTTTCACCATTTGCAGTTGCGCTCACACCAGCTCAAACACCAATTGAATGATCGCAGTGAAGAACAGCGAATCCTCAGTGGCATAATCCTCCAGCTTTGCACTGGGAATGGCATCTGGGTGCCCTACGGATTTGGAGATCTCCACAGTCCCAGTGCATGAGATATCACGGCAGTGAAACCGGTATTGCACAGGGACCTTCTCCCTGGGATCCCTGAAAGGACTTTTCTGGTAGTTCTTCACATTGTTGTCCCGATGGAGGTAGATCCCATGGTAGGCGTCCTCACCCCCAACCCCACCATTCCTGTCCTTGCAATTCGCCCGGCAGCATGACAGCCACCACCACGCACCTCCGTAAAAGTGCTTGTCAGAGCAGCTGGGCCACCTCTCGCTGGCATTTGCCACATTCTTGAACTGGACACTGAAACGGAAGGGGGGCGGGAAGTCGTCCCCAAGCGCAAGCCCCACCAGCACGTGCTGTCCGCTGCCTGCCTTTTCAGTCAGGAGCTGAAACAGATGGGCCTGGGACATGCCCCTGCAAAAGGCATCGGAGATGTCCTTGTTCTGCATTCCATTCACGTCCCTCAGTATGTCAAGGACGACATCGGGGCTAATGTGAGCATAGGAAATGCCCATCTTCAGAACGTCTAGAATCGCCGATTCAACGACCTTGCCACTGCTCTGGTTCCTGGTCCCCGCCATGCTGGCAGCACCCCTGTGGCATGACTTGCTGCACGCATCAGCAGCACTGCTGACAGACGGCTCATAGGGTGGGTCAGAGATCGGCCGTGGGAATTGCACGACGGGGTACAACCCTGAGTCCTGCTTTTCATAGGGGCAGAACACCATAAGTTCACTGGAGGGCTCAGCACCCCCAATGTCCGAAATATCTGCGGCGCTATCTGTCACAGACTGGTAGTCATCGTCATCCTCATCGTCCTCAGCCATCTTCTTTACCATCACCTCCTTTGCAAAGCAGTACCGCTGGTACTCAGAAGGGATCCAAAGGGCATCTGACTTGAGGACATTGACCACCATGAAGAGTTGCACCTCCCAGAATTTAGCATGCATAGCCCTGTCACGAAAGGCATACTGGCAAAGATAAGCCTCACAGCGGTCAGTGATGTCCTTGCTGAGCTCATGCTGGCAGCTCCTGGCAAAATTGATGAAGCTGATGATATTCTCGGGGGACAGCCGCAGATCAATGAAATCCACGCACTGCTTGGAGATTTCTGTCATACCAAAATATGAAGATGTTGCAAACACCTCGCGCACATTGCCATCCTCGATTGTCAAAGTCCTTGAATACAGGGTCCCTATCACGTCTCTGAAGGCGTCTGCGGTGACCAACGGGTCGTCAGCCCTGATATGGATTTCATGTTTTTTGGAGTCTTCCCAGCTTCCGGTGAAGAGGGTGTTGAAGTAAGGGCAGCGGGAGATGACCAAACGATGCAGCCTGAAGGAGCGGCACCTCAGAGTGACCTTGATGTCAGAGAAGGCACAGTCTTCCCAGCCCACACTGCTCAAATTCTGCATGAGGTCCTCATTGTCCATCTTAAAAGCGCACTGGTGCCCAGGGCTCTCCATCTATGCCACTAAATTTTCTTCTCGGAGTGCCAGAATACTCGGGTCCCAATAAACTCACACAGAGATGAGGCGCTTGGAGAAGCACCTGCAAAAATTTGCTGGCACACTTCAGCAGAATGCAAAGCGTAGGCCTCTGCACAGTGTTTGTCAAAAAAGCTTTGCAAGGTCTCAAAAGCGAAGAGCAGCAGCTGTGAAAGAGCCAGTGATATTAAGGCATGGACCTGCAAGAACATGCAAGGCCTACACCAAGACACTCCACAAATCTCGAGCTAAGTAGACAACCCACCAGAGTCCTACCTGACAGTCTGTCAACGATACTACACAGTGAAATCGTGAAGGGACACGCATACAGTTATAATTTGGATGGGCAATACTGGCCCAATGCTGGCCAAGAGACTCAAGGGTGTGGACAACACGGCCTTCAGAGGCGTGTTGAGGTTTGCCTATCTGTCAGCACGAACCTGAACACAAAACTTTTCAGTGTTCGCACTCTGCGTGATCTGATTCAGAACGGCATCAACAGGAGCCAAGGAAAGGACTATTTCACTGAATCAGTTGACAACAAGGTTTGATGGTCTAGTCTCAACAGCGAAACGACTCATCTCCCAAACGTGACGATAACGAACATAAATTATGCACTCAACTGGGCGCAAGAAGAAAACTCTTGGGCAAGCACGACAGAAGAACAACAACCGGGTGACTTCGTGGCAACAACGCTACAGGCCTCCATTTCTACGAGGAGGCCTAAGGGCATATTCCCAACATTTCAAGAAAGTCCCACAGACGTACGTGATAGCAAAAATTACCCTCAAATTCGCGGACTTATGCCGCCGGGATCCAATGACACCCCGCACACATTCCCGCCCTGACTTCAGGCCACAGCGTCCCGCACCCGCGCCCAGCCATCACGCAGGGATTTCGAACACGCGCGACCAACCATCCGCTGATCCACGGCATGAAAACGCCAAGAGCCTCTCTGAGGAGGTTTACACTGCGGCCTCAGATCATCGTGCACAACCCGGAAAGCCACCCGGCTCCGCGGCGTCGTTTCCGGCATATGTTCCGCGATGCCGATTCAGTCCAGCGGACTCTTCCGTCCAGCCGATCGCTTCCAATGGCGCACGCCTGGCCTCACCTGATGCCGTCCTGCAGGTCCCGCCCGTGGCAACGGCAGACGGCGGCCCCCTTCGCCTCCCTCCCGTAGCACGGGTGCGCCAGCTTGAACCAACGGCCCCCAGTTCTCTATGCTCCCAGCAATGTATACCCCACTAAGTGGCCCTCGGGTGCCGTAAGCGACGGTACACGCATTCCAGATTACTTTTTTGGCGTCACCAGAAGAATTGTTTCCACCTGACCGGTCTCCTGAACCCACCCAATCCTGTTCCCCACACGACAAAACATTACAACAAAGGTGTCCATCACCGACAACTCCACATACCCGAGGTCCCCGTTCATAACAGTTTGCCCTTTCGCTTCGCCCGTACTTTACTTCACGTTTCTCCCGTGACAGAAACCCTGAGTCACCCCTTTCCCGTACTGCCATCCACTCCGTCCCGTTTTCTCCCTCAACTCAACCGAACTCCACTCTCAAGGGCGGGAGGGCTGGGTGCGAAACAAGATAGGAGGGGGACCGAGGGGGGAGCCTAAATAGCCGCCCCCGCTCAGCCCCGCCAAAGCCCGCCAAGTCCAAGCCGCCAAAACGGGCGGACCCTTGGACACTCCGTACTTTGACTGACCCAAGGTACTAGGAAGGGCCAGAAACCCGTTTGAATACGATTGCGCCCGATTCGAAACTCGGTGCAACCCACCCAACGTCGTCCTGGGTGGAAACCTAATAACAAGATAGTTAATGTCATTTCCACCTGACCGGTCTCCTGAACCCACCCGGTCCTGTTCCCCACACGACAAAACATTACAACAAAGGTGCCCATCACCGACAACTCCACATACCCGAGGTCCCTGTTCATAACAGTTTGCCCATTCACTCTCCAAGGGCACGGGAAGCACCACCGGGGCAGAAAATGTGCCCAAACTGGGCGTGGAGGTCGCGTGCGGTTATTGTCATCCACCCGAACAAACGAAAGTCCCACTCAGTGGGTAAACGAAAAATGTCCACGTAAGACCACATGGAGTCAGACTTCCAGCCCCCCCAGTCTCGAATGCGCCGCTCGGCGACCTCCAAAGCAAAGCAACTGGACGCACCGCCGCCCCGAAGGCCGTGGTGCGTGAAAGGTTCGTGGGCGACGGTCGGGTGGCAGGCCAGCAAGTCCGTAAACCAAGCGGCCACCGTCTTGGAGCCGGGGGACGCCTCGCCGGGAAGCCAGTAGAAATGGCGAGGCGCCTGGTCTGTTTGCGCCCAGGCGCGGTCGCGGAAGGCTGTCCAGCGAAGGATGAGCTCGACAACCTCCGGGGCGCCTTGGGAGGGCCAGGACCGAAAACGCAGATAAGGGGTTGCATCCTTGTGCAGCTTGGACTTGCGCTCTCGAAATAAAACAACGCCGTCCGCCACCCGGATGTCCTCCGCCAGCACAAAGTGGCCAGACTGGGCCCGGTTAAAAAAGATGTAGTCGATGTACGCTGCGCACGCCGCCCGAAGGAAGAGCCCATTCTCCGTGGTCAATCCCACGTCGAGGATGCAAATCATCACCTCGATGGGCACTGGGCGGTGATGTTGCACGGGGGCCAGCATATCCCGGCGCCATGCGCGGGTGAGGACATGGGTGACCGGGTCGAATGCAGAAAAGCCAAGGTGCCCAGACATGTGGTGCACCATAGAGATGGCCGCGAGATACTGCGGCAAAGAACGAACGCCCACCTTGCCTTCCTCGCGTAGGAACCGAATGTAGCGGTAGATGGTGGCGCAACGAGCGGGCAGCGGTTGCAAGGCATGCGCCTCGCAAAAGTACTGGAAACGAAGGAACTTGGCCTACATAGTCCGCCGGGTGGCCTCCGTATAGGAGGCGAGGAACTGCTGCACCATCCAGCTCCGGTCGTTGGCCAGCAACCCATCCACTTCAGTGCCGTACAGCGGATGGTCCTCGGGGACCGGTTCCAAGGGGAATGGATCCAAAGGAGGATCTCCAGCGGGAGGCGCCGGAGCCTCCGGTTTGCTCAAGGCGTCATCGCCGGTGGGGTCCGCAGTGTCGTCGGGGGCATCCTCGGCGCCACATGGAAGGTGCGCAAATTCCAGCGCGGAGGTGGAAGGGAGGACGGGAGGCTCGGATCCCCGGGGAGATAGAGGTTGGGCTGGCGGGGAATGAAGATCTCGGCCCGTGCTATTGCCCGAAGTCGGGGAAACCAAACCGCGCTCAGCCAGTCCGGCGCGAGCACCATAGCTTCCAGTTGTGGCTTCGAGGTGAGGAATGCAACAAGCCTCGCGAGGAGGCTCCACGGGGGATTGCACCAGCTGCGCGTCCCCGTCCAGTTTTGTGCGAAGGCATTGACGCTCGACGTACCCACATCCCAATGTTGACTGTCGTAGGCCTTGCAGAGGGCATTCCGGGCGGACGCAAAGCGGTCCACTGAACAGGTCCCGAAGTGGTGGATGACCTCCTGGAATATGCGCGGATTGAGCCGGTAACCCTCCGAAGTTCGTATACACGAAAGCCTGTCCGGGAGGACATTGTCCGCTGATCGAATGTACTCGGGCTCCAGGAGCAACTTCCGCGTCGCACAAATAGCTTGCAACTGGCGAAGGGGCCTCAAGAGACCGGCGGACTTGGTAGTCATCGAGTTGAGGCAGTGCAGAACCACCTAGTTGTCCACGAGCAAGCAAAGCCGGCGGGAAGTGGTCCTGGGGCACCGACGAGGAAAGAAAGACAGCAGGGCCAAGTATACGGCCTGCATTTCATGGACATTGATGTGAATGAGCTCCCGATCAAAGAATCCGCGCGCGAGAAGGGGTTGATCACCGCCAAGAGGCGTAAAGGTGGCCCCCCAGCCGGTGAGGTTGGCGTCCATAGCTAAGGTGCCCACCAGCTCCAAGCAGGCGGAATTGAACGACCTGCCCGCCAACCGACCGATCTGGGCCCAGGCTGCCAATTCCAAACGAGCTGCAGCGGTCAAACAGAGCCGATCCCGCCAAGAGTGCTTGCCGCGCAAAAGAGAGTATAGATCCATCAAGAAAAATCGTGCTAATGGAAAAGCCAAGTACAAAGAAATGGCGGAGCCACAGAATTTTGCCAGATCCCGAGCGACAATAAATCCCCGTCGACTAATCTCCTGGGCCCACCGCGAAATGGCAGCCACTTTGTCCGGAGGGACCTGAAATTGGCACCGATTGGTGTCGATCATGATCCCAAGGTGTTTCTTACGTTGGACCGGCTCCCACTGACACTTGGACTCCTTAAAAGTAAGCCCAAGAGTGGCGAAAACCCGGCGGACCAAACTGGACCATTGGGTGAGCCGATGAGGATCCGACATGGCAGCAATGAAATCATCTAAATAGGCCAAAATCAGCGCGGGAAGTTCCCACAAGTACTGGAGATAGTACTGGAGAATGGAACCCTCCCCCGCTAATCGACCAAAACGAAACCGAGTTGCAGCTTTTGGACAAGAGCTGGGGGTCCTTAAGAAATGGACCACTACCAACATGAGTTGCGTGAAATAAAAGGGGGAGAGGGCCAAGCCAAAAGGGAGCACCCGGCAAGCAAAGGTCACCCCACCCATGCGAAATTGAAGAAAATGTTCTTGATCCGCCCTCATCCGAATATGATGATAAGCGTTTTTGATATCGAATCCCACCAAGTAATCGTGCTTCTTCAACAGAAATCCAAAATCGCGCAGTTTCTCATAATGAAGACCAACCTTCTTGAGATGGCGATTGATTCGCCGAAGATCGACGATGAGCCGGTATTTGGTCTGGCCATTCTCCGCCGGCTTGGCCACCAAAAATGTGCACAAAATCCGGGCGTCGGAAGAGGGGTTGGTCCGGACGATTGCCCCCGTCTCGAGGTATTCGTCCCGCAGCTCCCGCCACGCTCGCCATTCCTCCAGAGTCGTCAAGAGATATTCGCCCTGATCGAAGGGGCCCGGAGGGCCCATCGGGCCCCATTGAAGGGGGGCTCCGGTGTGGATCTATTGCAAGACGCGCGAAGGCGCCCCGATGCGGCGCCACCCGGAGAGACGGCCCCGAAGATGAGCGTACGGAGGGTCCTCTAGGTGGCGGGTTTGGGGGCCTGGGACGGAGCGTTGGGGCCCGCCGGCGGCTTGGAACTCTTGCCTTTGAAGTGGCGAGCGCCGGAGGTGGACGCACAAGTAGGATTGGGAGCCGGAGCGGCGCGATCGAGGTTGGCCTGGTTCTTGGCGGTAGCTGACTTGGTCACCAACTTCAACTGCTGATTGAGGACCTCTTTGCGAATGTGCTCCAGCGGCTTGTCGATCAAAGGATCCCAGAAGCGCCGATGAACTATGCCCAGCCAAACGTTGGTTTAGAGCGCACGCCACAACCCGTCGAGGGACGTCCCCTTGTGCTCCCCGTGCACTTGTTGAAGTCGGATTAGACTCTGCAATCTTGTCGTAATCGTCACGAGGGCGTGGAGGTAGTACCTCCGAGGTACAACAAGAGGGCGTCCCAAAAGATGGGCAGGAAATCCTGGTGCGCCGCGAATTCGATGAAGGAGGCCGTGAGGTCGAAGAGCCACGCGACGTAGGGCACCCAATTCTGGTACTCTTGGAAGTAGCTGGAGTTGGTCCCAAGCGCCTGCGCGAGTTGCGCGCCTTCGGAAGTCCGCCGCACTTCGAACCACTCTGGAAAGCGGACACCCGGAGGTCGGACCACCGGGTTGGTGACTAACCGCGGAAGGAGCCAGGGGTCCGGGAGCCAGACGGCGTCAAGCGAAGCCGTAGGCGGACCGTCGTTGAACCGGACGGCTTGTTCTTGCAGCCACTGCTCCGCAGGTGTCCGGTTCATAGAAAGAACTCGGCCAAGACGGCCGGGGAGGGTAAGGCACTCGGTGCCTTCGGGTTGTGCCAACAAGTGGCGCGAAGCGAAACAGGATAGGAGGGGGACCGAGGGGGGAGCCTAAATAGCCGCTCCCGCTCAGCCCTGCCAAAGCCCGCCAAGTCCAAGCCGCCAAAACGGGCGGAACCTTGGACACTCCGTACTTTGACTGACCCAAGGTACTAGGAAGGGCCAGAAACCCGTGTGAATACGATTGCGCCCGATTCGAAACTCGGCGCAACCCACCCAACGTCGTCCTGGGTGGAAATCTATTAACAAGATAGTTAATGTCATTTCTTCTGGGCGTCGAGGTTGGAAAACAGCGGCTGGGATTAATTGCGGAGCGGTGAGCAAGGGCAGCGCGGCACACGACACGTGTGCTTGCCCTGACGGATGGCGTCCAATCAACGACGGCAGCAATTCGCTGAAACCTGGCAGCCTGTCTGCGTGCCATGCGCCTGTTGCGCCAACCGATTGGTTACCAATTTGGCGGCTGGATATTTGCAATCGGGGGATCGTCTTCAGCCCTGGCCAGTGCAGTACAAACCCACGCATTCTTTTAATACCGCCCCCTGTTTCCAGAGATCCCTAGACCAAGTGTGCATAAAAATAAGCTTGGTGAACGTCGTCCCGTTCTTCAGTTTGCTGCCAATCAATCACTTTGTGGCAGGTGTGACGATGGCTGCTGGTTAGAGTTGGTTTCAACGCAGATTCCCTAACAAGGGCACGCACGCCGCAGCATGCCACTTGACCAGTTGGAAATGGGATCGCAGACGAATTGGGGTTCGGGAATTGTGTGGCCATGGGACCATGAACAAACGCTTCTGAACAAACACTTCGTTAGGTTCTCACGCCCATCATCACCTATCAGGTGCAAGGGCTGTGTTTTGCCATTTCATGGCAAATGTAGTTGACGGATTTTGATGATGATACCACCTTTGGACGATGAATGACCTATTCTACATCAGAACAGCGCTATTAGGCACATGGACGAGTTGTTGAGGTAAGGTACAGAGGCAAAGGAAGAGGCAGGTAAACATAGGTACATGAACGCGAAACGGTAGAAAAAGACATATCAATGCCACAGCCCACAGCACAGTGGCTTTTGGCTTCGGTACATTGTTAGACACCCAATCGCATTTTCGTTGTCTGTCACAAACGCTGTGCTCACCGGACCAGGGTTATCTTTGAATTCCATGGGCGCAACCTGTGAGTGTTTGACTTCGTTGGTGTCCAAACCAAATTAGCGAGTTTTTTTTTGTGGCATCTATGTGACATTCGAGGCCCATTATGAACTCCACCTCTCAAGTGATCGCTCATTCAGTGTGGATTTAACGTGACAGATCATTGCATGTTGCTGCTATCAACAGTGCCTGGTCAAGCGAAACATCGCCTATATAGGCATTATGTCGGTCGAAGCGTATTAGGTTAGGTTGTTATGTGACAACGAAACGAGATACCCGAAAGTATGCATGTATGCATTGCGGAGGACTGATGATGATTGGGGGCGATTTCGTTCGAAATACCAATGCCGAGCCGATGCCGCGCAGAAGACAGGAAGGCCACGCCCCAGACTATCCTGGACAGAGGGTGTCGTCGACTGCGGCAAATGATACACGTTGGGCGCAGGTAAGTTGCCGTTCACACTGCTTTCTCAGGGGCTTTCGACGCGGGCGCATTCAAAGTTGCAGAGAACTCTTCGTTGGAGACATCGGGTAAATCAGGCATCTGATGGCGTGGCGGAAACTTCGCAGTGGTCATGTCATCACCCACTGATTTGATTTTCCGATGATAAGAGTTTGCCCCGGCACTTTGCGAGTGTGCACAGAACTAGCCCTGCAGTACTGCACTGTTTCTGAAAGTTCTTGGGATGCTCGGATCCGTTTGGCGCGGTTTGAGGCACAGTTTGTGGTGCTTTTGCTGCTGTGTTGTGCATGGAGCGCAGGAGCTCGGGGTGCGGAAGCGCAGCATGTGGCGCCTCTCGGTAAGCAAACAGCACAGAAGCGGGGGTGTTGCGCGTACCCAAGGGCACGGTTGGTTGCCGCTCATGACGGGGCGCTGTGTTGGGGTTGGATGCTGCGTGCTGCGTTTAGTGCCTTGCAAGCGGAGCATGGGATGCGCCAAAAGTGCCATTGTGGCAAGGTACGATTACCTTGAGCGGAAATACCAAAGGGCCGAATCTGCAGGGCTAGCATCCTGTGAGCAACAATGGGCCGTGGGGAATCGCGATATGCAAGTAGGGATCTTCGATAGGCTGGAGTGCCCGGGAAAGACCTCAGCGATCGAAACAGGCTGGGGCTTGGGAAACGACCAGTGACTTGTGTGAATAATTTTCACCTTGTATATGAGTTGATCACAAAAACTCATGGAGCGGCAGTGCGTATCATTGAAGGATATATACACTTTTATTGAAGCCAAGACCTGCCACATTCGTTACCTCAGCTAGCGATACTGTGTATTTTGTGCCGCTTTTTTCCTCGGGGACGAGCCAGTGTGGAGCTCCACTTCATGAACCGTGTTGAGCGACAGCATTGCGGCATCTGCCGCACATGAGATATTGATGCCAGGTTGAGCATCATTGGTGGCGAATCTACTGGGATTGCTTGCTCGCGATCCATGTGACTATGACCGCCGTTCTCCCCAGCAACAAATTTTGGCACTGAGTAGATTCCTTTACTTATGCTTACCCTTGAAGCTTTCAGTCAGGTTTCTTGCGTGCTCTGTGGTGCAGCAACAATTCGAGACGCTCTCTAGTAAGCTACCGTTGTGCACAAGGATATGGTCATTTGAAAAACGTTACATTCCATCCATGGTCCCCGAATACATACAGCTTCTAATTTCGGAATTTACAGCAAAACCGCGAAAACTTGGACAGCGTTTACCATGGTTTTTGGCTGTGAAAATGAGAAACTTCCTGGTTTTTCTGCTCTTTACGTCTTCGTCCCTTTTTCCTCAGCAGGGCTGAGGGATTTCACAGTACGGATTTTTAACATCGTTGCATTCGGCACATTCTTATTCATATTCTTATGCCATGATAAACGAATGGCTTTGATGCTCTTCTTTGCTCAGCTGCCCGTGTGGTTTATTCCAGCTATCTCATGCAATCAGGCCATGACAATGGTGTGCATTTAAACCACACATAACTGACGTACGCAAATTCTGGGCATTATGCATCAACTTGCGTAGGTGGTACTGAGCACGGTGTGAATACTCCACAGATGGCGACGCTCCTCGGACACTTGCCAGAGTATGGCCCAGGGCATGGGCCAGGTGTGGGAATCTTCAACCCATTATGTGGGTCATAGACCATCCTATGACGTAGCAGTTCCTCTGGCCATACTGGATGCCTCTGATCGTCTTGGCTCGGTTTGCGTGTGGTCAATTCTGGACCGCCCTGTTCGGATTTTCCTTCAGATCAGCTTTTCCAGAGACACAAGTGCAAGTTGCGTCCACGTTCCGCATTTGGCAGAGCATGTTTCTTTGTGGCAATGTTGCAATTTCTGGATTTAGCAAGCAATTGCTGCAATGCCTTGCAAGGTACCGGGAGAAGGTCTGCCTGGGAAATGCAATTGGCATTTGATTGAGCAAATCCTCGCCACCGTTTTTCTGGAGTGAATCACGACCATGCATGGACCTGACGGCCACATCGTACAACTTTTGGCCCGCTGGTGTCCCCCCTTTGCAACTTCCCCTGTCCATCGCCGCGCCCGTGCACACCCAAGGCCACAGCTGGCACCGCCGAGCGACATCAAGGAACGGAGGGGACAACACGAGGGTCCCCATTTGGTGTTTGAAACGTCACCGCCTTTTGGAGGTGATCTGGAGCCTGAAGCGCACTGCGACAAGTCCCCTGGGCACAGGGGGCGAACCGCAAGCGCCGGCAGCCCCTCCAACGCCTTGGCCTGTTTGGAAGACGACTGCTGAAAGGGGAGCGAACAAAGGGGATCGAGATGGTGGGGATCTTTCAGCACGCTGCTGGCGCTGTCGACAACGCGGGTTTGTGATTTGAACAGGCTATATGCTCTTTTGTACGCAGGGCAGCGCGTATTTGGCGGCGTACAATGGCATACTAGCCGCAGGATGGTGAGTTGGGTGTTAACTGCTGCTGATGTGATTGTGGGGCACTGGGAAACACCGTAATGGTCCCCGCCAGGCGAAACCATATCACTGTTCTGCCGCTGGCTTTGATGGATCCTCGGCCCACTTGTCCCTCGATCTTTGGAAGCACATCAATTGAAGATCGTCGGCTGAGCATCGTGTCGTGCCCAGTTCCCACCTATGGGCAGGATCTGTTCCTGTTTTGTTCATGCCTTCAACACGCAACAGGCCAACACCGTCTTTGCTCTCCTTCGCTGTTCGTTGGGGGGCAGCGAAGGGGTAAAAGGGCGCAAAAAGTGTCTCTGGTGCCTGGTCATACGTGCAATCTGCATTTGTTGTGTTGTGAGCACCATGCACGTCCATGCCCATTGATGCAACTTTGGGCTCTGATTGACAAAGGACCGTGGTGGTACTCAGGAGCTACTGCCTCTTCTTGGTGATTCAAACAGCAATGGTCGGAGGGTCCACAACTGAAGCATGGGAGGTGTGACTGTCCAGTGCTTCATGTGCCCTGGCCATGTCAATAATGCAGCAAAATGGATTCGCCTGGTGCACCGTGCTGTTTATTCTTTCTGATTGGGAGAGGTTTCACATGTGATGGTGTTGTTGTGTCGCATTTTCAGTTCACCACCTGTGCGAGCATTGTTGCAAACATCCCGACATCCAATGAAGAAACCACTGCTATCTGATTGGTCTTGTTCACGTGAAAACCCTGCATTTTGCATGGGTCCTTGAGCCTGATGTCCTTATAGGTATGTGGACACTTAGGTTAGATTTGATGTTGCCACATCTTTTTTGAAGACATCCTGCTTGAGCCTAAACTGGTAGAATGTGAATACATCTCTGAAGGATGGTGCATGTTGCATAACAGTGCAGGTGCGAGCCTGGTCCAGCCTGGAGCATTTCTATTGCTCTGTGCCCGCCCAACATGCACATCAGCATAATGTCTTGTGTGGGCTGCTAGGTTCTGCAACAGCCATTGAAGATCTTCCAGACAGCAGCCTTGATGGAGGTGCTGCACAGTGCATTTGGCCTTGTGAGGTCCCCTGTCATGGTCACAGGTAAACTTGCAAGCTGGACAGCACAGTCATAGGAGGGGAAACCATGGACTGACTATGATATTCCGCTCACAGCATCTTTTGTATTGCAGTGCTTTGGGTATGACTTCTTGGCTGATAACTGCAAGTGCACTTCATCTCAGGAATGTAGTTGCCTTAAATCATCGCTCTGAAGCTATGAGGGCAGACGGAAATGCACATGAATCTTGGAGGCTGGTTCGATTGAAACAAAAGGCAGTCATCTGCAACATAGCATGGCCACCTAATATTGAGGCACTCCACCTCTGTGTAGTGGAAGCAACCTGTGCTCTTGCATTTATGACGTCCTTGACACATATGCAGCCAGTTCTGGGTTGGGCTGTAAGCTCTTGTCCTGCTGTGAGAGCATTGTTCTGCAGAAATGAACATAGGTGCAGGAGTGAAGGAACACAATGGTGCAGCTGTTTCCTCTTTTCAGCACAATCACTGCCATGTTGCAGCCAGGGAGCCAGCATCGGCAGCCTTACACGCCTGCTTGACACTCCTGTGCTTGTGCATCTGGCAGCTTTGCAGGTTGCTTCAAGGATATTCGTTCTGTGGGGAATTCTTGTCCCCCTGCCTGAAGAAACTGCCACACAGGCAGTGCATTTGATAACGTGAGTGCAGTTGCTCTGCCAACAACATGATCTGATTCCTTGATTCACACACTTCAAACAGCAAAAGATGTTGCTCTACCAGCCAGGTGCAACATACTGGCATACAGCCCTATGCTCTTGTCTTCTAGTGTCACCCATTTCTTCTGCATCTGAGTGCAACGATTTCTGATCAAGGCAATGTTCTGCTTGTTCAGGGTGGGCACCATTTCAGTGGACCTCAACATCTTCACCCTTGTGGCAGCTTGGAGTGTTTCGGAAGTGATCAGATACGGATATTTTGCTTTCAAGGTGGGCAGCATCTTGCTTGGAACCCCATATTTGCGGCTAGCAAGCCTTTCAAGGCATAACATGTGATTTTGCTTGCTGCTGGGCTCACAAATGTCCCTGTCACTTCCATCCTTGTGATCCAGAGTCTGCAGTGTGGGGAGTTACAACGATGCAACTCTCATATTTCTGGCAAGGGAGGCTTTCTCATCAATTCTTGCATTTCTTCACTTCCAATCATCAACTATCAGAAGCTGATACTGTTTTCTGTTGGATAGCTGGTGGTCCATTGAGCTTGGATAGGCTACGTCACCTGGCACAACCTGCCCAGCCACACTGTTAGTCAAAGCAATTGGTGTGCTTGGAAAGTGTATGTGATGCCTTTGTGGCAGCAGTTCCACAAAGAAACACAGTGCGGCACTAATGAATCATTCGCCTGTGCTTTTGGCCATGTTGTGTCTTCCAACAGCCAATGTGTTCAGTTTGCCAGAACACACTCGACTGCATACCACCATGACGTACAAAGGGGTCACAGCATGCAGGGATGGAGGCAACACCAGCAATATTACTTGCTCTTGCTCACCATGGCTTGGATTGCAGTAGATGAGTAAATGCGGGATATGATTGTTTGTTTCGTGTGTCTGCGAGAAGCTGGACAGCAGACCTCAGACCTTTGCTCTGCGAAATCTGTTGTTGACCACCACGATGATCCCTGAGAAGACGTGGTTGGTACAGCATTCACGTGGCTCTACACAGGTTCTGCATAACATTGTTCCTTGGTGGAACAGCCAAGAAATATTTCAAAGGAGCCTTGTGGCATAAAGGCACATACTTGGTGGGACATGCCACAGGCAGTTCCAGGTGTGGATGCCCGCACATGCTGAACCGCCCGCTGGAACCGTTCCACTGTCCCCTCATTTTCTGCAAACTCGTCTCTGAGTATTATCGGTACAACAAGCCAAGTGGAGTGCGGATGTATTTTCCATCAGGAGTAAGCAATTCTTAAGTTGGAGCCTGGTACACTGTGATGACCAGGCACTGCCAGACCTTGGCCTCATCATGTACTTTGGACGAATGTGATCAAGAATGTCGCAAGGCAAGTCTTCGCCCATTCACAACAGTGCAAAGCGACCTAAAACAGAACTTTTGCGTTGTGCCCCCCGATGTGCAGGAGCTTGGGGTAGAGTTCTACCTGGCAAAGTGGCTGCGCTACACCGGCTTCATTGTCCTCTACCCGGTGGGCGTGTCCAGTGAGCTTGCCATGGTATTCCTGGCATTGCCGACAATTAAGGCCTCCCGCATGTGGAGCATCGACATGCCCAACACCTACAACTTTGCCTTCGACTACCATATCATGTGCTGCACTGCAGCGCTCTCCTACATTCCATGTGAGCGATGGATCGTGTTTCCTTTCATTGTGGAGCGCAATCTGCAGACCCCGAATAGCCTCCTGCCTGCTGAAAATAGGCCTTGTGGCATGCAAGTGCAGTACCGATTGGAACGAACTGTATGGATGCTATTATTGATATAGTATAAGTACGAGGTTTGCTAGAACTCAACAAGATTATCGATATGCACAAGGAGACTGATTTTCCTCTTCGAGTTCGATGCTGCAATGCAGCTGAATGTTGCTAGTGCGCTGGTCACAATGGGGTGACGTTGTGTGCATGCAACGCAA